CTTACAATCAAGGCATCTTCAAGGCTCCCAGCTGAAGATTTGAGGGGCAGACACCGCTTAGGTGAACCAACAGATTCTTAATTCTCTTCCCCCTGGCTCGCTCATTCTAGACTCCGGGATGCCTCGCTGGTGACCAGAGGTGGCTGTGTGTCACAGTCTAGACTCTCAAGCAGAGTCTCCCATGGCTTCTGGGAGGATTCCCTGCCTTTTCCTGATATAAGCAGAGCGCTAAAGCTGATGTGCCCTTTCCCGATCCTTTCCCGATGTAACTGTTGGATCAGAAGCTGGGGCATCAGCTTGCTACTGAGAGGCGAAGGCTGAGAAGCGGGCTGGCCTGCAGATGTCTGCTTAGACAAAGAAATGCGTATTTCTTTTTTTTTTTTTTTTACCTCAGTGTAATAGTTTAAAGACATAACATGCTGTCAAATTAAATACCAATGGCTTCAGCTGCTGAAACTTTACATTATAAAATTATGCTCTCAGATAAAAACGTTCCCATTCTCCTGGTCTCCCAAACCCTAGTCTCCATTTTGCTAGCGATTCAACTCTCACCCTCTATTGTAGTTTTACACCCAAAACATACACATTATATGTTTGTGTGCAAACCACAAGCACCCCTTGTAGGTTAGTTACCACACGGGACATGCATGTTACTGGCACAGGTGCAGTATTGTGGGAGGAGATCAAACAAACAGCGGTTTTTTTCAAAAAAACCCATTTTCTCAAAAGTACTCTGCCTGGCTGGTCCTAAACTACTCTTTTATCAGAAACCTCAACACCTTGAATCCTGTTTTGTCACTATTACAACTGAACCACGCTGCTGGCCTAATGGGCTAGAATCTGACTTTCACCTTCACCTCTTTGTTGAAAAATTATTCTGCTAATGATCACCAGTGATGGCTTAACGGCCAGACCCACTGGGAGCTTATTAGTGCAACTCTCAGAAAGCATCCTTGCCGCCGTCACTGGCCAGTTCCTTGAAATTCAGCCTCCTCTTGGCTTCGAGGCTCCGAGTCCTCTGGGGGTCCTGTCGCCTCTCTGAACTTGGCCTCATGGCTTCCTTCGCTGGATCTTCTTTTTAGTCAGATGGTTATGTTCCTGCCGGTTTTTTCTCTACTGGTGTTTGGGATGGTTGAGACGGTGTGTCAGCTCGGCTGAATCACGATTCTCAGTGGTTTGGTGATTACAATGGAGTCACTCCTCATGATGACATCTGATATAATGCATCATCTTCATGAGGAAGTCTGTGATAAACCCCCAATCGACTCAAAGAGGGCTTCCTTGGGGGTGTGACCTGCTTCCAATAGGTATGGATGTTCTGGACAAGTTCTCTTGCTTTTTGCTCGATCTGGACCCTACAGTTGACTCATCTTCTAACTGTCAGGTCTTTGGACTTGAGCCAGCAGCCTGCCGTATTACCTGACAATCCTGGGAGTTCGTAGCCTATGCAGCCTGTCATCTTACCTACTGACCTTGGGTGGATTCATTCACCTCTAGAGCCAACAGCCTGCTGCCTGACCTACTGATCTTGGGTCATCCAGGCTCTACAACTATTGAGTCAAAAGAAGCCCCTAACCCGACATCTAGTCTATAAACTTAGAACTTTCCAGCCTCTACAATCACGTCAGCTAATACCCTGAGATAAATATATATGTATCACTGTTTTTGCTTCCTTATAGAACCCAGCCTAAGACTTTACATGCCATCTAAATGTTCTTTCTGAGTGAGTGTATTCATTGTACCAGTTTTCACTACTATTTGTGAATTAAAATCACTAAAACTCTCCATAAAGCCCCACGTTTGTTTTGCCAGACACTGC